GAGTAGGGTGGTTCGCTTTTGCAAAAATGTTAAAAATCGCGTATACGTCAAGGCGATTCTTAAAGTTCAAGTCTTTACGAAAAGAAAGCCGGGTTCAGAACCTCAAAAAAGTGTCGGGAACCGGTGTCGATCGATTTTTCAAGTTTAAAAACGTGCTCCAAAATAGGAGCAAAATCGGTCAACCATTCAATTTATTTCAAACTGTGTTTCGAGAGTAAAAATAATATCAACAATACATTTTCTTACGTATTTTTGTCTGTAGAATCGAATGCCGTAGTCAGTTTTGCTCTACGACTTCGTTTTCATCGATAAAAATGTACTTTTTTGATTTTTTTTCGCTTAAAAATCCAAAAATCGACTTTGCAACGTTTACAAATGAACAGAAAAAATCTTCGAAAGTTTTTGACACTACCAAAATTTAGGATTTTTTATGACGAATCTAACGGTATAAATTAGTATATACTTTAAAATTATTTTCGTTCATAAAAATGCAAATTTTCGATTTTTTTTTGCTGAATTTGACGAAAAATCTCAAAAACGAGCCCTTATGGAGAGAAAGTGCTCTTAAAAAATCCCGCTGCAACATTTTTTTTGTATTTTTTGCTGTGAAATTGAATGACGTTGTGATTTGTGTCCTAAAACATCGTTTTAGAAAAAAGCGATTTTTTTTCAAAAACATCTCGTTTTCTGGATTTTCGGTCAAATTCAGCAAAAAAAAATCGAAAATTTGCATTTTTATGAACGAAAATAATTTTAAAGTATATACTAATTTATACCGTTAGATTCGTCATAAAAAATCCTAAATTTTGGTAGTGTCAAAAACTTTCGAAGATTTTTTCTGTTCATTTGTAAACGTTGCAAAGTCGATTTTTGGATTTTTAAGCGAAAAAAAATCAAAAAAGTACATTTTTATCGATGAAAACGAAGTCGTAGAGCAAAACTGACTACGGCATTCGATTCTACAGACAAAAATACGTAAGAAAATGTATTGTTGATATTATTTTTACTCTCGAAACACAGTTTGTAATAAATTGAATGGTTGACCGATTTTGCTCCTATTTTGGAGCACGTTTTTAAACTTGAAAAATCGATCGACACCGGTTCCCGACACTTTTTTGAGGTTCTGAACCCGGCTTTCTTTTCGTAAAGACTTGAACTTTATGAATCGCCTTGACATATGCGCGATTTTTAACATTTTTGCAAAAGCGAACCACCCTAGTGTAGAGGTTAGCACGTATTTGTCATTCAGGTATCAGTACTCTGCGAAAAGCACAAATTATCAATTTTACTGTCAGGGCGGAAATTTTGCTTGTCAGCAAAAAGTTTGTTTAATCAAGACAAGAAGAATCGAAGAATATTGATGTAAGAAAAGAAACTTTTTTCTATTATTAAAAAAATAAAAAAACATATTTTTCATTTGTGTGTTGAGCAATTAAGTATCGAGGTGACTAAAATAATAAAAATTCATCGTGATTATTGGCTTTTTTCTGCGGTATTTTAGAGAAACACTTAAGAAGGTAAAATTTTACAAAACCTTACTTTGTATTGTGTAGGTGATCCGACGTCATTAGGCGTAGAAATTCGAATTTTGTTAATAATATACTCTCTTTTTTCCATAGAATCGTAATATTTTTGTCTGTGGCCTATCGTGAAACTCATAAACAATAGCTTAAAGTCCATTCCAGTTACATGGAACTTTTCATTGCAATTATTTTAAGTACGCATATCTCCTTTTTTTAATCTTAAAAAAAAGAAACGACAAGATTACACACTTCGTCCCTTGGCTCTGCTTTCACCGAAGAAAATTTTACATATCGACCCTTGCCAGGCCATAATTATACAGATGCCTTATGGAGCATTGTTTTAAACCTACATCGACTTTTCTATGGACTAGATACCTGTCACAGTTTCATGTCGGAGTGATAAACTTTTCTTTTCAATATATTATGATTTTTCTAATCCTATTGTCTCAATTAAAATAGGCGAATTTTGCTTTCTTTTCTCAACTTGACTAACATTTATTACTCGTATCAGTCGTATTCTTTCGAAACTACCGTTACAAGCCCAGCCATAATGGTTTTCATTCGATGTTTTCAAAAACTGAATTATCCTAAAAGATTCCCTCTACGTGAAATTTTGCTCATTGCAAGCTTTTTATCATTCATACTTATAAGTCGAATATTATATCAATTAAAATCACATAAGATTCAATAAATTCGAAGTCATCATTTTTCAAGTAAGAGCGCAAAGTTTGATTAAATACATTCAATACTGAGCTTTTTAAAGTACATGATTTAACAACTGCAAAATTAATACAATCCATTCAAAAGAGACTTCAACATTAATTGAGCAGATCAAGTATTGGTCCATAGTTTGTGCGTTGGGGGGGGGGGGATTCGAAATTCAACATTAAAATTACGTAACAAAAATTACTCGAATCTAGACAAAATAGATTTTGTGTGGTATAATATGGTTTAAAATGCCATGCAAAATTATTGCATTTTCCAGTTAAAATGATATTCGTAATAAAATTTCACGACCGGTCTCTATATCAACTCATTCGCCCTATGGTTCGCGCAAAAAAGTTTGCAAGTACTGACCATTGAATATCAAATATTTTTTTGATCGCTTTTTGTTCTGTTTTTTTTATGTACTCGTGAAATTTCATTGGACTAGATTTAATTCGTTTGTATTCATATTATAATATTCACACATGCTGCTCTTACCTTTTTTTCGCGATTTTCTATGTTTTTTTCTTTTAAATTTTGCTTTCGTTTATCGAGACTCAATCGCGTCAGCTCAATTTTATATCAGGACGGAGCAGCAGATAATTTTTTTCTTCCAACACTTCGCGTCGGAATATAATTATTTTTATATATAATATAATATATTTATATAATATTTTAAAATTTCTTTTCTTTAGATATTTATTACTAAAAATAGGCATTGACAAAGCATCGCAGCAATCGTCAACGCCTCAATATATTTTTATTATATAATGGCCTTTTAGCCGCGAGTATTTGATAGGTTATCTAGTATTTACCTTTTCCGTAGTTATAATAGAATCCTACCTAGAGATATTTTTTTTACAACATCCTCTATTTTACCTCACAGATCCAGCACGTCACTCTCAAAGGATGATATAGTATTTATAAGTTTTTTGGTTTATCGGTATGTTAATTTTTTTGATTATTGATTAGCGATTTTTTAAATGTAGTTTAATTTTATTTTTATATTTTTTTCGTCCAAATGCAGTCAGACTTGTGTCGGTTGAACTAGTCGGTTACACACACCCATTGGCTCTGAACTTCGATACATGACTCGAATTTTTTTTCTCGAACTTTTTTGTCTCTCTTCGTTTTTATAATATGGCAAAGTGCGGATCTGTTCGTTCGATATTTACGATAAGTACAATAATTTTTTGCGATTCTCCTCGATTGAAAATTTCGAAAACATCGAATGTTATAACCCATGGTTAATGAGTTTGCCCGTTCCTCGTTTAAAAACATATTTCACTGTTAAAGTTAATAATAATTATAAATAATTTTTTTCATTACAATATACGATTGCACCTGCGAATTACGCGCGCAACAATAGCAGCTCTGAGAATATACTAAATAAAAAAGATTAGCTATCATCACTTCGTAGTTGGTACTGCCGTCGTCTTGCACCACTTGTGTTATTTTTTTTTACTCGGTATATATTTATATAAGAATTCTTATTCAACTAAGGTTATAAAATTATGCTTCATAGTGGTCACTTTTTACTTTGCCCTCCCTCGCTGCGGGACGGCAAAGTAATTTTTCTATACCCGTCGACCAATTTTTCAAAAAACTAAGCATTACTTTGTAGCCATTATTATTCTTTTCAATTCAATAGCTATTATTTTATTATGTTATTATTAACCACTTTGGGGGAAAAAATAATTCCTCTATTGCCTGTTTTATTTTTCCATCATTTATATTATGCGATACGCGTTTTTTTTACTTCTCAACTTAATAATACTCATTATAACAGACGCCTGTAGAAAATGAGAAAAGCGGCTCATCGTTCAATACTAAAATTTTACCTACTGATAAACATTCTGCTTTTCTCATTTCGTGGGATCCTTCCCTTTTTTGTGTTTTAGTCATAATAATATAATCTATATAATGTTTGTACAGCCCTGTGAGAGCCATCCAAAAATGTTTATGTTTTAACCGTGCACAATTTGCAAATCGCGGTTGCGTTTAAGAAAAATAGAACAATAAATCATAAAATGTACTTATCAACCCTCTTTGAACAATTAGGATTTTTTGTATTTCATATATACAATTGTTTTTTTTTGTTTAATTATTTAATCTATATTAGTATTTTTTCTCTTCTCCTTTCGGCTAATATTCATTCTATTCAGGGATGTACATTTTCTTCCATCGTCATTCCATTTTTCTATTAAAATTGTAATCATTTTTAATATCCTATATCATACGAGATATACGTGCTTGTATGAGTATTTCATATATTATATAATATAATATATATATTTTTATATATATTTATAATATAGATAGTTATTATATGTATATATAGTATATTTGTTTTTTTTCGTGTATATGTACGCCTTTATTTTTTTACCATTTTTTGCAGCGTATGCTTCATAAAATATATCCGCAAGACTAAACGAGAACTTTACTAACGATTTTGCAAAAAATTAATTCCTTCTTTTTCATTTTCTTTGAACATTACATTTTTTACCTAGTCTAATTTTTCAGCTAGCGATACTTTTTAGAGTATTACCAGCGAGCAATTCCTTTGCTCCGTTTTTGTCCCACATAATCAAGTTTTACCATATCTATCTCTCCACTCACCACACCTCGTCCCTCTTTCTCATTTCTCAATTCTATTTCTCTCTTTTTTTTTTCTCATTTTTTTAATTTATATTTGTTAAAATTATTGGTCAAGTGGGATCTTACTCTGTTATGTCTTGATTTTATAATTTTTTTTTTCGGGGTTTTTTGAGGTTTTTTTTTGTTTTGCTTCAAAAAAAGTCTTTTGTCAGCAAAGCGTAGGGTTTTCTTCTCTCAGTTCATTATTTTGTTTTGTTCTGTTTATAGTGGAACTATTTCTTACAATGAAGTCAATTTATATTTTTTTGTCCGTTACCCCTAAAAAATTATCTATCTAATTGCTAGTCTTCAACAGTCTGAAGGATTTGTGGTGGCGATCTCGAAACATATTTTTATAATGCGTAACATGTTTGAGCGACCACTGGACTTATGTTTTTTTTGTTTTGTTTATGATCATATCTACGAGAAAAAATGGATGAGAGTTACGTGGTTTGCTCCCGAGAGCTTCTTGAGTCTCGTTCACACATTTATATTCCAAATCAATGGCTACTCACATTTTTATCTAGGATTATATGGCTAATTTTCAATCAGTTTAGTGATAATATAGGTTAATAGGGTCTGCTTGCATCTTTTGGCCTTTTTAATTGTACTTTCAGTCGTTTCATTCCAATTTGAAAACCGTTCATTGCTTGTATCGCTGCTTGTGCAGATGCTTGATTGTCGAAGGATACGAATCCTGCGCAGAAAAAAAAACAGAAATGGTCCGGTCAACACGAGGAAAAATTTGAATGAATAACAGGATGTCCCTTACTTTAAAAGTGTTAAAAACTGTTGCTACCAAAATCTAAACTTTAAGTAAGTTTACATGTAAAAAGAGAATGCAACCATTTAGAGGTAACAGGCAAGTTCAGAGCCAATTAGCTGCAGTAACAAAAACATTTTATCATGTACTTTTCATTATTTCGTACACTGAAACTTTTTTTAAGACTATTTTGGAGCTTTTAAAGCCCTAAATTTTAAAGTTTTTGAAAGGGTTTGAAACCCCGAAAAATTTCGTCTATTTTTCAGTTAATCGGTATTAGCAGACTCGAACTTTTTTGGTGGGGCTTTCGCGCCCTAAAATTGAATTTAATTGACTGGAACAGTTTTTCCTTCTTTAATCCAACGGAAAACTGTATGTGAAATCTGCTAAATGTGAGAAAAATTGGCTAATAGTCGTAGAAAAAAGCTTACTGCACGAAATGTTTAAAAGCCCAGAGTGAGATGAATTTTTAATTATAGGCCAGCTTTGAACCCTTTTATCTCACCTTTAATGGATGTATCCTCTTTTAACATGTAAATTTAACATTCAGATATGTGTTGCATCAATTTTTGACATTTTCAAAAGTAAGAGATATCCTAATTTATAATTAATATGAATTAACTCACCGAAACATTTACTCTGGTTAGTGGCACGATCAATAAATACTTTAGACGAGATGACGTTCCCAAACGGAATGAACATTTGCATGAGCTCGCCGTCGCCGAATTCCTGGGGCAGGTGATAGATGAACAGGTTGCAGCCCTCCGGTCCCGATATGGAGCAACCTGTGTAGTACCCGTGTGAAAAACGATACACACAAGCAGAGAGACAGAGAGATAGACGAGTTGAGAAATTAATACATCATATTAGTACAAGTGGGTAAGACAACAACGACCGGCAAGCAAGAAAAAAAAGGGATAAACGAGTTGTGTTTGGATATACGATACGCGCCCGTGCGCGGGGGGGGTTTTGTTCTGTAAGTTATAAAGCGATATACGGACAGACAGTTGAGAAACACGGAAAGCGCAAACCGCTCGGGTGAAGACTTTGTAAAGCAGCGCCGCGGCGCCGCTGTGTTTGTGTGTGTACGTGTGGGGACCGTCGTCGTCGCGTGTTACCGCCGTTTATTTTGTGTGAGTAGTATACCACTGGTATTCCGCATTTAAGTTCACGACCTTGGCGCGGGTTGTTTCGTTCCTCGCTCGCTCGCTCTTATTTTGCTTTTCCATCCACTAGTACTACTCCACTTGGCCAGAGACACGGAAATCTATATATACATACAAAGCATCGTACACACGGAATAATGCATGCCAAGCTCGGCGGCGGTGGTTGAAGATTCCCCAACTCGTTCTTTACACAGTGTACTACTATTCAATGTGTACGCTATGTGCTATGTATATAAACGACGACGACGACCAACCGATTGGCGTCCTGCCAAAAGAAATCGTCACGTACATTCCCGGTGTGCAAGAGAGCCGAGCTTCGTTCGTGCGACATCACTTGTTGATTCCACCAGCCTAGAGCACTAAAATGTTCATGTTGCACGGGGGCCATTATAGCGCGCGCGCGATATCGCAAGTTGGCTCGAGAGCCGCGTGCATCCACCTGATCGCGTATTACGATTGCCACCGCCGCGCACGAGTGCCAAAAACGAACATAGAGAGGCACACACGTAGACACACAGGTGGTTGCACAGGTTTCCGTGCGCGCGACACACTGGGCTCGAAGCCACGAACGCAGCCAGCCAGGCAGGGGGGTGATGCCCGTAAATCATGGATGCATCGTGTGCACGTGCAAAGCGAGCCGGATATTGCCAGGCGCAATCGACGTACGAACCTTCTCTTTGTTGAGGAGCCACCGCTGCCAGCGGTTGCGCGAGGGCTTGAGGAAACTGACCGTAGACGGTTGGATACGCTGAAAGCCAGATAAGCAGATAAAAATTAGAAAAATCGGTACTCGAGATCGGTTGCAAAATTTTTCACAACTTACCGACGCTGTGGTACGCGGACATGGGCGCGTAACCGCCGGTGGCGTGCGACAGCGCCGCCTCGCCGTTCGGTAAAGTCGGGGCTGCAACAACGAGGAACAAACAAACGAACCATTGAATCGTTGCTGTCATCCATATTTCTGATAAATATAAGTCAAAAACACTCACGGCCCGGAAACGTCTGAGGTAGCCCGTTGGCGAACACGCCCGCATCGGAGGCGGGCTGGCCGTTGGGCGGCTGCGCTGCCATGTTGAAGTTGGGCATCGTCGGCGACGGCAGGGACGGTATGGCGCCGTTCACCGTTTGACCCGCCGCGGCAGCTGATTTTCCAAGGTACACACAGAGAAAGAAAACAAAACGAATCGATTACAAATATTTGTATAAAATCTTATAGACGATGTATATAGGTAATAAAGGTGTTGAATCAGACAAATCGGATTATAATTCGTCATAATAGAGAGCTCGAGTTTCCATATCGCCAAACAAAGACGAGTTACATCGTCGATTCTCGTATTATACCCAGATTTTCCCCCTTTCATCGCGCGAGCCCGGTGAGAGCCAAGCCAATATATCTCTTACCGCGGAAAGTCAATAAATATATCAAATCGTCGCCGCGAAAAAGGGAATCGCAACTTGTAAACGTCTCACGATTGACGCGAATCATCGGATATCTTGCACACGAGTGATATATGTATTATATAAAATATCTCGGGTATTATATAATAATGGCTTTGTGCTGTATATATACTGTACCGGTGCTCGGAGGTACAACGGCGTTGGGCAGGCCATTGAGAGCGTGTGGAAGCTGGCCAGCAGCCAGCGCAGCCATGGGTCCGATGTAAGCTCCTTGCGCCGTCGCGGCGGCCATCAAAGCAGCTTGTTGCTGTTGTAGTAGTAGCAGCGGCATAGGCATAGGGAGGATTTATTCAATTATTACATACACGAAATAAAATGGCTTCAGCGGATTTATCTTTTTTATATCTCTCTTTTTTATCGTTGTTGTGCTTTACCTGCGCGTAAGCTCCGTACGGGCCGAACTGATTAAAAACGAAGGGATTGATCAAACTCATGTTTCCGGCCATTTGTTGCATGCGTCTCAGTTGTCGGTCCTTTTCATTATCCGCGAATTTGACTACGAGACTCGAAGAAGCTCCCTATATCGTTTGAGAATCAAAGAGAAGAAAGAAATATTACATTATCGATCGTTGCGCTCTATATTTCACCACCACCCGCCGCACTCATCAACGCATAATATTATTATTACAAGTATCGACTGACTGGTATACTGACCGGCATAGTTTGACTTCCGTGCAATGAATTTATTGCACTTTGTGCTTCTTGATAGGATGCAAATTTAATGAATGCACAGCCTGCAAAAAAAGAGAGCAAAAAAAACACACAAACGGAATTTTTTAATACAACATAATCAAACACAGAGAGACAGAAAAAATTTAAATTATTTCATTGTTTTTGTGGAAAAAGGTAGTAGGTATAGGGTAGGTTTTCGTTTGATGTGTGAAATGTTTGTGTTGTGCTGTTGTGTCGGTTGCGTGTATAAAGGCGAAGCTTCGATATATGGAACGGTATAAATGCTATATAGGTATATTGTTGAGTGCGATAAGAGTTTGAGGGCAGATTTTCGAGGAGTGCCAGGCAAATAATATATACGCGACGGATACAACGATCGAAGTCAGAGTAAGAGAGAGAGAGCCGCAAAAGATCGTGGCTGGCTGATATCTCTCTCTCTCTTTATGCATGAGAGGGAAATTTTCGTGTCGAGTATTGTCGTTCGTCGTCGCAGAAATTGAGAAAACAAGAAAAACTCGACCAAGTCGATGGATCGTTTATAGTTAATATTTCTCCCCCCGCCTTCCTTGGCTCTCTCGCGAATCGCACAGAGCGCGCAGAAAATCACCTCGACTCGTTCCGTCGGGTCCTCGAAGTATCGTGCACTCCTCTATTGTACCGTAATCGTTGAATAACTGGCGTACATCCTCCTCGGTCTGCTGCTTGCTTAGCATACCCACGAATAGCTTCCGATCTGTAACAAATGTAAGGGAAAATCAAATAATACACACACAAATAAATTTTTTATATACTATTTCTTGCGTTCGATCGCGTAGCAAAAATTCATATTTTATGAAACTTGAAAAGTCGAGAGAGTCACGAGTTTTATAAGATAAAAGAACGAGAAAAATGAGCTTACCAGCGCGGTTTTCACTGTCCGTCAACTTGACTTGACTGGGACGGCTCATCTGTAACAAGATCAATTCAGGGCATTTGTATTATATATGTATATATCTCTGCTGCCACACTGCTGCAGCGCGTTGAAAATTTATACTTTATTCATTTTCGAATTTCTCTCTTTTACCGTTCAAAAAAAAAGTAAAAAAAGAAAAAAAAGTAAAATCATCGTGACATATAATAAAAAAGCTTCGTTTTAGTTCACGATTGTCCTCGTGACACACAGCGCGCGCTAAAGCTCTTTAAACAATAGGGCGCTAGGTAAAAACGCGCGAGGAATATGTACATCCATCCGCGCGGCTATATCGAATCAATTTTTTTTTTCTCGAAAAAGTAAAATAATATAAAAAACAAAAACCGCACGCGGCTGCTGCGCGTGCTTGTGCGATGTGCGGTTTTCGACGCGTGTATATTTTTGCGTTTTGCGCGCATTCAGAAATCTGGGTCACCATTCGTTTCGAGCTTGCGCCCATGGGGATGACTGCTAATTCGGTTCTTTGTCAAAGTTGTCTCTCGCTTCGGTTGCGCCGCTGCCGCGCGAGATGCGTTTACTACTATGAAGCGCGAGCGAGCGGGTGAAAAAAATACAACAATTACGCGGAACATATAGGCGAGCGCGCGGGGGCAATTGTAAAAGAGAATGAGGAGTAGGAGGAGGACCCCCCGGAGGTATACTCGCGTGCTGCTGTGTTGCACACAAGGGGCAAATGATTCTATGGATGTGTGTACTATACGTACATCTCTCTGTGCGCTCGCGACGATCTGCCGGTTTATGGAATTCCGGCGGTAGCAGCATCAGCAGCAGCAGTTTTGATATGCAATTTTTTCGTCACGTACGCTCCGCTGCTATCCTATATATCGGCGCGTGCATCGATATATGCCGCTGCTGCTGTTGCTGATGTGTAGGCTTGCTTGTGAGAGAGAGAGATTGCCTCGATCCCTATACCATATTATCGCTATACAGCTTCCAATTTACATACTATCCTATCCGCTACGCGTTACGTGTGGGTGTGTGGGTGTGGATGTATGGGTTTGGGTGCGGGTGAAGCCGAGAGAGAGAGAGAGAGACACTCATCCCCTGCATTTACATCCCTTATACGCTTCATATATATGTGTGTGTGTCGCCCCTACTCTGTACGGTTCAAAGATTACTCCATGCTGCCGTCTACACCCAAAGTGTGTGTGCTAGTATGTATGCGTGTGTGCGTTATATGCATGAACCCTTGTCCCTCACCGATCAATTGAAATAGGGCATACGCCTCGAGAGCAGCCACCGGAGTTACATTACGTACACACACATATATAACAGAATTGCAGCGATATAAAGTTTATAGACCGGAGAGAGAGCCCCCGAAATCTATAGATATTTTTTCGATCCTTTCGACCTTTAATCATCGTTTTTGGATATCCACATTTGAATTACAAATGCGTAAAATCGCGTATATGCAGCTGATAATAATTTCAATAATGCACCTCTTTTCTCGCACGCTAGCATCGCGGTACATATAGAGTATATGTACCGCTGCCGCCCGGCCTGCCGCTGCGCATTATAATCATGCTCCAACTCTGTCCTCTCTGCTCTCTTCGAGTTCTCTCTATGCCGTGGCTCTCGCGCGGATCATTGCACAGCTAATTGGGCGCGGAGATCTCTCTCCCTACTTCGGCTCTTTGCGCCGAGCTCATGGCACACGCCCGCGTGCATAACAATTTTCGTCGTGTCGTAGTAGTAGTAACAGTGGCAGCAGCAGCGACGACGACGACGCATTAACGAAAAAGCGTTTTCAACATAAATTTGCAATATGCAAATTATAAAAACGTAACTATACATCGTTGCATTGTATATTCATTTTTAAAGCTCTTATCGTTTAAACGCTCGCGAGCAGCACAGCGCGATGTTTTTCATTATATTTATTGTGTACTTTATACATCGTGTTTCTTCTCTCTCGTAGCCTCGACGCTTTCGAGGCACGAGCGAGCGAGCGAGAGGGATGAGAAATTAAAAATTCTATATACACTTTGTTTTCTGTCTGCTCCAGCCGCCGAAGGGTCCGGTTTGGTCTGGGCGAGAGCTTTTTTCTATTATTACTTTGCGCAAAATTCTTTGCGCTACTCGGTAAAAGCAAAATACGAAAAAAAAAAAAATTAAAAAGCACAGAGGCCGAAGGAATATTACAGATATACGTTAAAAATTATAATAATATCGGAGCTTGCGATGCAACACGCGCCAATCATCGGGGCAGCTGCTTCCTCCGCTGCCGCTGCGATAATTGAAAAGCTAGGTACAGCGAGCTTTTGCTCTCCTCCGAGCTACGTAGCAGAGAGAGCTATTACACACGTTTTACCCATACATAGATATATATATATTACTACATGCCCTTTAAATACTCAATCTCTGCTACGTACGTACGTACGTATACACGTCATGTATACATGCCCCGAAAATGGTATGTACAAGATCGCTGTTCGATGGCGGTGAATCGCGAGCGACTGGAAATGACACTTTTTCGATCAACGCGCGGGAGAGCAGTTTCTAGCTGCGCACCTACGCGCTGAGCGAAACAATAATCGTGCATGTAAACACGCGTTCGATAATTTTACCTTGATAGCCGACGACTCCGCACTCGTCTGACGCATGGCGCTTCGTACCTCCACGATTTGCACCATTGATAAAGCTTTGGCTCGACGCGATATATACGTAGGTACTCGGCCCTTTGTTGGACGATAGCGACAGAGAGAGAGAGAGAGAAAGAGAGATAGAGAGATATTATAACGCTGCTCTCCTTCGTAGACGTAGCAGGCGGGAAGAAGCGAGTCTTGTAAGCACGAGCACAAAACCTCCCCCTGGTTGCCACTATATACTCTGCTCGAAGCTCGTTGTGTATTATAATACACACACAGCAGCGAGTCCGCGCCTTAAGTTAAGAGCGAAGAAACGTGAAAAATAAAGAAGGAGATGATTTTACAAGAAAATCCGCCGTTGGTTGAGGAAAAATATGCAAGGCGCTGCTTGTAAACAACACTCTCCTGCGCACAGATATACAGGTAGCCGAGAAAATTCACACAGACACACGCGCTCGCGCACTCACAAACTTGAGTACGTATAGAGTTGAGTAGCGAGAAAGGAAGGAAGGAAACTTTGGCGTCGTCGTCACTCGCGGATTATTATTTTTCATGTAATAATAATAATAATAATATAAAGGAGAACGACGCGCGAAAACTGCAAGGTGTCGAGGTTTTCTTTTTTTCGTTATACACAACTGCTGCTACTACTACGTTACTAGTACTACTGCTATATATATTCGTTTCTCTCTCGAGTCGCGCGAGTCTCTTTCTCGTATAAAGTCTACCACTGGTACTACTGGCGTTATAGTACAGCACAGTGCACACTCAGAGAAGCGACGACTACGACGACGACTACGACGGCTACGGCGGTGGTGGTTGTGCTCGGCGCTGGTAGTAGTAGTAGCAATGGTGTGTGCGTTTCGCAGCCCTCGCCGTCGTACTCGCAGTCGACTATGTACGTATATGCGACATTACGACGACGATGGTTTTCTATGTAGTAGTAGTAGTAGTACACCCCCTGCGATGTTGCTGTGTGCTGCGCCTTGTCCTGCCTTTATCGCAGCGCAGCGGTGAGTCTCCCCAAACGCACATCTATATACATGGTGTGTGTGTGTGTCCGTGTGTGTGCGCGTTAGTATGTAGCGCGTGGGGCACTATCTCGCTCACACATACACACATACACGCGTAGGGTGCCTAATGTAATATATCTATATAGCATATATAGCATATAGCCGTAGCAGATATTCTCCACACTGACTTACAGAGAGAGAGAGAGAGAAACATGGACAGCTCGAGCTCGGGAGCGGAGCGCGGCACGCAATTATTATATCCTTCGCCCGTCCGAACCCCACGCGCGTATAGCGCACACACACTGGCACAAAACTAATACAAGTACGTATCGGTATATATCCTATATATACGCGGAGCAGGAGCCAGGATAGAGCCGAGAGCGCGAGAAACACGTACAGCGTTCGCTATATCTATCGCATATAATACATAGCATAGGCGCGCGCGTATAATCAGGTTGGCCCCGTAAACCATCCTGCACAACCCTTGTATATAT